AATTACATAGTCCGGTAGGAGAGAAGAGAGAAAACAAAAAGTTATATACATGCTATTAAAAACTAAGATTTTTAATACTGAGGAAAAACACAACCAATATAAAAATTAAAGAAAAAAACCCACGACTTTAAATATACAAGAGGGGCTTGGGAAACAGCCAAAAAACTGTCAGAATTACTGTGTCATATCAAAGGACACAAGAGCCAAACTGAAGGGGTTCCCAATGGCCAAAAATGGGACAATATGAGCACTAAAAATAAATAATGCAGTTGAAATGCAAATACATGAAATACCCAAAATGGTATTTTTAAAAATTAGTCAACCTTTGCAGGGTTGTTAAGGAAACAACACATTATTCTGACAAACAATAAATGAAAAGAATCAAACAATTATCCTATTTTTCTTATGCCAACTGTATTTCAGGGTAGCCAAGACTTAAAAGAAAATTTCTTCCTTATAGAAGCATTCTAGTTAATTAATGACAGATGGAATGATAGAATTAGGGGGAAAAAAACCCATCAATTAGCAACCCTTAATGAAATGATAAATCTAGGCAATGATCATCAATGGTTATTAAAACCATTAGGTGAAAGGCCAAGGCACAACCTATTATAACAGATGGATCAGGGTGTTCTGGAACCCACTGACCAACCTTAAACATAACAAAAAATGGGACAACACAATCTCCTACCATAATACAATGAAAAATACCCTGTATGACCTATGATGTATTCTTACCAAAAGAATGGAAACTGAATCTAATCAAGCCTCTAAATCTAACTACTAGATCACAGAAAACACAAAGGAAGACCATGCTAAACATCACCACAAGAATATAATCACCAAATTCAGAATGTAAACAATCTGATTTCTTCAACAAATAAATGGCAGAAACTAAAAAGGTGAACTTTAATAGATAAAAGAGACTTAAAGAGCCATAACAAGGCTGGTGTGGTGGCTCACACCTATAATCCCAACACTTTGGGAGACCAAGGGGGGAAGGATTGCTTGAGATCAGGAATTTGAGATCAGCCTGGGCAACATAACGAGACCCCTCTAGAAGGAAAAAAAAATTAGCCAGGTGTGGTGGCGCGTGTCTTTGGTCCTAGCTACTTGGGAGGCTGAGGTAAGAGGATCTGTTGAACCCAGGAATTTGAGGTTACAGTGAGCTATGATCAAGCCACTGTACTCCAGCCTGGGTACTAGGGTAAGGCCCTGTCTCTAAAAAAAAAAAAAACAAAGAAAAT